GATGAACAAAGAAACAGTGTTTGCAATGTGCGCATATTTGAAGTAAACTTCTTACTAACAGCTGTTAAATTGAAGGATTTGAAGGATATATTTTTTTTATGAATGCTTTTTATAAAATTCAAAAAAATTGGAGTTAATATAAAACCGTAAAACTGCCGGATAGCCCTGGCAGCTGTGGCCAATAAACCAAAATATTACTACATCTATATCTCCGACTACGACTAACCGACAATTTGTTTTGTGTGGTCTGTTGTCTGTTTTGTTTGTTATTCCTTATTTATAGTTATTTACAGTAATTTTATTAAATTATACGAATATTCTAGTTGATTTATTGATTTAAAATAAATATGACAGTGATCTCCAATGAAAATACGAGTTACTAACTCTAAATTCTAATTCTGAGCTGGCAAATGAGCTAGATACTTTAGAATAGAATTTAGAATAAGTGTGAGGGGGGTTAATCTCTGCGACCTTAGAGATCTATTGTGTTCCCCTTTCTTGAGTTATAACTCATCATACAGTCCCAGGACTTCCTACGGAGACCCGTGTCCTTCACAGTCGAGGAGCTACGACCCAGGCCGGGTAGACGAAACGGTAGCTTGTGTCGCCTGTTGGGTTTAGAGGTAGGAGGTAGGCTCCCGACCCTTTGAGGAGGTGGTAGCTTGCATGCCACTTGCGGAGGATGGTCTCACGCAAGTGTCAGCCACCTTTCCTGTAGTTCTCTTTGGGTTTGGCCCCTTGGAACTTTCATTGTTACTGTTCCCAGTGTCAGTAGGGGGTTTCCCCACAGCTTCACCGGTGATGTTTTCGTTACTATTATTACCAGATCTCATAGTGTTCCCATGAGTCGCTAGGGACAGTCGGCCCACTTCTACAGAGCCCCGCATGTAGAAGTAAGGGGTAAAATACAATGGGGTGCCCCCCGATGCCCCAAAGTTGAGGCTGTCCTTAGCCCCGCCCGGTATCGTTATATGTCTTGGTGTAATTCCCTGGCCACGACACTACAGTCAGGAACAAGACGATGAGTGAGATGCTTCTTAGACCAAGCCAAGTGCTAGCGGGGATTTCCCCCAGCACCTGACCAGGAGCTTCCCCACCAACGACAAGGTCTTGCATCTCCTAGGGGAAGGAGCTAGATACTTTATCTAGACCGTTATTCAGAAGCTACAAACCTATCGATGAAAATATGCCTGAAAATTTACTTCCTAGAACACAACCAGAGGATATTGGTACACACCAATGTTGGTACAGTATCAAGTTTATTATAGTGATTTTCTTATCCGCGTATGGCACAGATCGTTACCCGGTGTTGCCATAAGCTTATTTTTCATCGTGGTTGATTATCACGAAATAGCGGGTTTAAATTGTTTTATAAAATGGTAAATCTACCCCGAATGGCAACACTTCAAACCATGGCAACACTGCCGTTACCACTTTTCCTCTCGCTAGGTTATGCGTCACGGCCCTCACGGCCGTCATCGAAGGCCATGTGTCACGGCCTTGAATGATACACTTTAGATAGTCCCAACATGGGCCTTTCAACGTTCTTTTATTCGTTGCGCTATTATTATTTTGTTCACACTATTTTTGGTTAAGGTTTCAGAACCATATGTCAGTACCGTTAGAACGCACTGATTATACATCTTCCTCTTCAGATTCGTCAAACATCCCAGATTGGGATGTCTGACCGGAATACATGTCTTACTTTGCCAAAGGCAGTCCAAGTTAAGCCTATTCCTCTAGCAATCTCGCAAGTTTGATTGTCTCTGCCAATACGTACTTCGTGTCCTAGATACTTGTAGGAACTCGCTTGTTCAATAGTCTCTCCTCCAATGTACATACCCTCGCCCACCACCATGTTTGTCATAAACTAAGTCTTTGATCTATTTATTTTTAGACCCACACCAACAAATGCCGCATTATGTCTCTCGAGCATATCTTTTTCTTCGGTAATACAGTACTATAATACACAGTAACTACAACAAACCAAACCAAAACAAAACGAAACCAAACTACAACCAACAAACCAAACTAACCAAATCAATACAACATCAACGGCGAATCTTAGGTGATTTAGTTTTTCATTTAATGTTTATACCCTTATCTCCAAAGTCAACTCGCTTGAAAATTTTATAGTAGAAAATAATATTCAAATTAAAATTCGTTGGCATTCAGTTATATTTATCCAAGATTATTTGTAGATTTTCAGATAATTTTTAATAATATGCTAACATAATATTATTATTGGCTTAAAAATTATCTAGCTTCTTTGTTGTTACTCTGAGGTTCCAAGCAATTGAAGAACGACAATTTATTGGATTTTGCAGGGCCGGGCGGACTCAAATTTCAGCGTTTTTTTTCTTAATGTATCGATGACATAAAGAGAGATCGTATCGCTTAGTCGTGTTTATGACTGGTGTGAAATTAATAAATCAAATTAAGCACGTTGTTTCATTCTTGGTGTGGTGTATGTTTACATTAACTTAGTAACAGTTTGAGTTATCCTTCAGATAATATGTATTGTGTATGTTATAAAGTCATAATAAATTGTTCACGACTTCGAAAAGTATTATTATATACTTTCAGATGATTAAAAGTGTCAAATTTTATTTGTAAAAATTAAAAATACACTGTAAAAATATGTATATAACATTACAACATTTCAGTAGATGACAAGCTTGGAATAGACGCGATATCTTCAAACCACCTTGGATCAACCTCTTCACTACTGGTCAATTTTTTCATCTCTTAGACAAGTAATCAAGGCAATGTCTTGTATCTTTTTTCGTCTGGACCAGACCTTAATATTCTTTCTCAACTTGTACATTTCTTCTTTTAATTTCAAATATTCTTTCACTTCTGGTACGGTATAAGATTCTTTCAGATTTCTGCATTGATCATATTTCCTCTCAAACTGATCCAGTTCCTCTTCCGTTGCCTCATATTCTTCTTCTGTTTGTTTAATTTGGTTTTTCTTTCCTTCGATCTGGGAATTGAGCGAAATGTAGTCTTCTTGTTGTTTTTGTAAATATTTCTTGTGGATGCTTAAAATAAGATTAGCGCTTCCGTTCATTTCTCTAAGTTCGATTAAGTGAATGTTCTTCTGATCGTTTTTTTGGCGAAAATGCTTCTTTTCTATTTCTAGTTAGTCTAATCTTAATTTTTCGATTTGAAATTGAGCGCTTTTCAGTCATTCCTCCATGTATCTGATGAACTTTTCGGCTGGAATTTGTTGAGTAGTTAATCTATCTACTCCTTGAATTACTATGTTGGACTCAAATATATCGGTACCTAGCTGTTTTATTTTTCGCTTCTCTAATAGAAAATTCCTCCAATTCCGATTTCAAATTTCTTTTAGTAACGTGACTTCTTTTTAAGAAACATTTCGGTTTTTTGAGTTAGGTTTATCTTAGGACCTCTGCCTTATCGTGATCTGCTATATTAACCTGTGATCTGCTATAGCACTCTATAGAGGTAAGACTAGGAAAGGAATCCAATCTGAATTTCTGCCTAGAAGGTTTCTCTTGAAGTTCAGCGGCAGAGAGAAAAGATCTTCTTGCTATACAATTCAGAATATTCTCTATCGATGGCATAAAGAGAGATCGTATCGCTTAGTCGTGTTTATGACTGGTGTGAAATTAATAAATCAAATTAAGCACGTTGTTTCTTTCTTGGTGTGGTGTATGTTTACATTAACTTAGTAACAGTTTAAGTTATCCTTCAGATAATATGTAATGTGTATGTTATAAAGTCATAATAAATTGATCGCGACTTCGAAAAGTATTATTATATACTTTCAGATGATTAAAAGTGTCTAATTTTATTTGTAAAAATTAAAAATACACTGTAAAAATATGTATATAACATTACAACATTTCACTAGATGACAAGCTTGGAATAGACGCGATATCTTCAAACCACCTTGGATCAACCTCTTCACTACTGGTCAATTTTTTCATCTCTTAGACAAGTATTCAAGGCAATGTCTTGTATCTTTTTCCGTCTGGACCAGACCTTAATATTCTTTCTCAACTCGCACATTTCTTCTTTTAATTTCAAATATTCTTTCACTTCTGGTACGGTATAAGATTCTTTCAGATTTCTGCATTGATCATATTTCCTCTCAAACTGATCCAGTTCCTCTTCCGTTGCCTCATATTCTTCTTCTCTTTGTTTAATTTGGTTTTTCTTTTCTTCGATCTGGGAATTGAGCGAATTGTATTCTTCTTGTTTTTGTAAATATTTCTTGTGGATGCTTAAAATAAGATTAGCGCTTCCGTTCATTTTTCTAAGTTCGATTAAGTGAATGTTCTTCTGATCGTGTTTTTGGAGAAAATGCTTGTTTTCTATTACTAGTTAGTCTAATCTTAATTTTTCGATTTGAAATTGAGCGCTTTTCAGCCATTCCTCCATGTATCTGATGAACTTTTCGGCTGGAATTTGTTGAGTTAATCTATCTACTCCTTGAATTACTATGTTAGACTCAAATATATCGGTACCTAGCTGTTTTATTTTTCGCTTCTCTAATAGAAAATTCCTCCAATTCCGATTTCAAATTTCTTTTAGTAACGTGACTTCTTTTTAAGAAACATTTCGGTTTTTTGAGTTAGGTTTATCTTAGGACCTCTACCTTATCGTGATCTGCTATATTAACCTGTGATCTGCTATAGAGGTAAGACTAGGAAAGGAATCCAATCTGAATTTCTGCCTAGAAGGTTTCTCTTGAAGTTCAGCGGCAGAGAGAAACGATCTTCTTGCTATACAATTCAGAATATTCTCTATCGATGGCATAAAGAGAGATCGTATCGCTTAGTCGTGTTTATGACTGGTGTGAAATTAATAAATCAAATTAAGCATGTTGTTTCTTTCTTAGTGTGGTCTCTGTACATATTAACATAGTAAAAATTGGAGTTACTCTTCAGATCTGTAATTTGTATCTAATAAAAGCATAGTAAATTGATCAGAACTTCAAAAATTTTATTATATGTACTTCAAAAAGATTAAAATTCCAAATTTTATTTGTAAAAATTTAAAATACACTGTAAAAATATGTATATAACATTACAGCATTTCACTAGATGACAGGCTTGGAATAGACGTGACATCTTCAAACCACCTTGGGTCAACCTCTTCACTACCGGTCAATTTTTTCATCTCTCTTAGGCAAGTATTCAAGGCAATGTCTTGTATCTTTTTCCGTCTGGACCAGACCTTAATATTCTTTTTCAACTCGTACATTTCTTCTTTTAGTTTCATATATTCCTTCACTTCTGGTACGGTATAAGATTCTTTCAGATTTCTGCATTGATCGTATTTCCTCTCAAACTGATCCAGTTCCTCTTCCGTTGCATCATATTCTTCTTCTGTTTGTTTAATTTGGTTTTTCTTTTCTTCGATCTGAGAATTGAGCGAATTGTATTCTTCTTGTTGTTTTTGTAAATATTTCTTGTGGATGCTTAAAATAAGATTAGCGCTTCCGTTCATTTTTTTAAGTTCGATTAAGTGAATGTTCTTCTGATCAATTTTTTGAAGAAAATGCTTGTTTTCTATTTCTAGTTGGTCGAAATCGACAGCGTGTACATTTTCTCCTAGCTCCTGTCTTTGTATGAGTTGTTGTGAGACTCTCTTGTATTGCACTTTCATCGTGGCAATCCTTAATCTTAATTTTTCGATTTGGAATTGGGCGCTTTTCAGCCATTCCTCCATGTATCTGACGAACTTTTCGGCTGGAATTCGTTGAGTTAATTTATCTACTCCTTGAATTACAATGTTATACTCAAATATATCGGTAGCTTCTTTAATTTCCGCTTCTCTAATAGAAAATTCCTCCAATTCCGCTTTCAAATTTCTTTTAGTAACGTGACATCTTTTTAAGAAACGCTCCAACTCCGCTTGAATATCTTCCATAGAGCGCATAACCATTTCGGTTTTTTGGGTTATGTTTATCTTAGGACCTCTACCTTCTGCTATGGAGGTAAGACTAGTAAAGGAATCCAATCTGAATTTCTGCCTAGAAGGTTTCTCTTGAAGTTCAGTCGTAGACATAAACGATCTTCTTTGTATATAGCTCATAATATTGTCCATATCGTCCAACAAGTTCGGATCATTTTCTTTTAGAAAAGTCTCAAACAGAATATTCTCTAGTTCTAAATGTCTATGGTCCATCTCCATTTCGTTAACTAGATCTATAACTTGCTGATCAGTAAATTCATCTAAAGGGTGAGGTTCCTTTGCGATTTCGTCATTTTCTTTGTCGGGAACACTTTCCTCATCAGTTTTAATAGGGGGCTCTTGTATGGTTCTACCTTCTGAATCTTCTACTTCGCTTTTTGCTGTATCTTCTGGTTGGTTTTCACGACTTGCTTCATCATCGGTGGTAAGCTTGTCAGATGTTTCATTTGACTCGACATCTGTTTCTATATCATCTTCATCTTCACCTTTTTCTTCTTCTGTCGTATCACCTCCCACTAATTTTTCTGGCTCACTAATAGAGACAATATTTCCTTCTTCACTCGGCCCTGGTTTTTCATTTGGCTGCACTTCACTCGCGTTATCACCCGATTTAACACTAGCATCCGTCATAGTTTTTTCTTCTTCATTTATTGGTACTCCTTCTGCGCTTTTTTCAGATTTTTGTATTTCTTGACCTGACATTTCGATAAATCAAATAACAATGTCAAAGTATACCAGGTATTATAACTTTGGTTAATCGATGTGTCTGAATCCTGGCAACATGTACAACAACAGTTCTATTCTTTCTAAATTTAAAATTAAAGTTGCGATCTGTCAATTATACGAGGAATAACAAAATATTGATATTTTGGTGAAAGTTTGAAACACCCTATGGAGTACGTTAACAAAGCAGGGAATTTGAAATAATTTTATCATCTAGATGTATCTTTTCTCGATAGTTTGTTTTTTGGTTCATCTCAATCGTTTTTTTTTTTGAGATATTCGCTTTTGAAGAAGATACTGACATTTTTTAGTATTTTTTACTTTAAACCATACCTTTGCTCTTGGTCCTAGTCAACAGACCTATAAAATACTATTTATGATTTATGTAATACACTATAATACAAAAATCATATTATTATTGACTATTGGGCAGTTACTCTAGCCAAAAAAAAGTCAAATAACTTAGCTACAAATTGCTTAAAAATTCATCAAAATCGGCCCACTAGAACTAAATATATTAAACCTTAATGTTCATCAAAATTTTAGGGTGCCCGTTTTTCGTGCCGGTCGGTGAGTCTATTATTATACATCACTAGAAAAGAGAATTACTAACACGAATTACATTATATTAACAAAAGATATCTCTTCATATTCTTGATTTACATCCATCAAGTTGGCATTTTCAAATAGACCTTTCCATATCTTATTATTAACTTCATTCCAAAATATTTAATTTCTTTAAAAAAATATTTTTTGTAATAATTTTTTTTGTCCGACGAAGCGTAGAAAAATAACGAATAGACATCAAGACCAAAAGTGATTAGTCTAACACTTAAGATTTTAAATGAACTTGTGGCAGAGGTTGTGGGCTTTAGTTAATTACAAAAAAACACGTTTCGGATATCTAACGGATCTTTTTTCGATTCTAACGAGAGAAGAAGATAATTTAGTTTTATTGTACCCGAAAATAAAGACGAAATTTATTTTTTTATAATTGCTCGTATAATTTTAAGATTCCGTGGGATATATTTATGGATTTTAGTTTCACGAGCAGTCCTACCAAATCGTGATATAAATCTTAGATTAACGTTTGACCGGTCAAAAGAAAGGGTCTTAAGATACGTAAGAATTATTAGTTGTTAATTAAAGTTTAAGCCTGCGGCTTAAAAGAGGATCTCTATAATTTATTAACCGCATGAAGCTACTTTAAGTTTGCAACAAGATATAAAATTGTAATTTAATATCCATGATAAAATTACTCAGTAGAAACATTGTTCTGTTTGTGATCTCATCTTGGATAAAAAAATAATAAAGATAATTTACCTTTATATCCAGAGCTTTTATTTATAACCCAGGCTTTATACAGGGTCCGGCAATAATGCGTCGGGCATCTGTAGCTCCTAGAATAAAAAACTTGGGAACTTTGTTTAAGTGCAAACCTAAATTATGTACTAGGATGTATCTCAGGAAAATATTTTAACTTGTATAGGACGGCTCAAAAAAGTGTGAGTAGATCGAGATTATTTTTTTTTAATGAAACACGCTGTATATTATTGTATTTTGGCATCCTTTCAGATCACTTTACATAATCCTAAAGTATGAGTAAATATATTTCGATAGTTTTAGAGATATTAATAAAAAAGATAAAGTATATTTTTTGAGCCTTTCTTAAAAAAGTTATTAATAATACAAGAACTGCTTTAGATGGTCTGTACTTACTTTGCTATAAATATGGAAATCGTAAATCATACAGTATTGTCAAAATTGTACGGCAAACTTTCTAAAATATAAAATAATTTTTCTTCGTTTTTGAGACACCCTGTATATTATTTTTTTAATATATGGATTATTAAAAAATGAAAATTTTTGTATTTAGGGGTTTTTTTAAATTTTTAACTGCTTAGCAGATATTTGCGGTTTTATATTTCGAGTGGCATTTTCGACAGTAAATTTTTATCCAAGCCACTCAATAATTTGTCTCTCGTATTGTACCGTTGAAAGAACCATATTAAATAATACTGCGCATATCTGCGAAACCAATAAAAAAATTTAAATACTTTAAATACAAAAAATGTTCGATTTTAGTGTTCCGTATACCCAAAGGGTAAAAACCAATACCACCTTTATCGATGCCACGATTATCTACAACTTTTATCTGAACACTTTTTGTCTAAAATAGATTATAATAGAATTAGGGACAATTTTTAAAATAGGCAAAATTTGTTTTTTTCGAAATATCTAGTAAGCCATGAACTTTTCCAAAAATCTGAAAAGCGCATTTTTATGACCCCGCAAAACTGCAATTCTTTCCCCATTTAACCGACTCTCTATCTCCAGTAGTTTCCGAGATGCCCATAGAGAACATCGTAGGAAACTCACCCTGTATATATGAGATCTCCAATATACAGGGTGGTCCGAACTGTATTCCGGAAACTTCGGCAGCATATTCTGCAGATAAAAATAAGTAAAAAAGTTCGTATAAATATATGTCCTAAAATGCTTAGTTTCGGAGATACAGGGTGTAGAAGTTTCATTTTTATTTCGATTTTTTCCAAATAATTTCTGAAGTAAAGTCAATATTTGAATGAAAATTGGTGTCTGGGAGTTTTTTGACATGAGAAATTTGATTTTGATGTCAATATGGCTCCTACTAGTAGAGGACGCCACCTACATATTTTTTAACCGGTTTGTAGAGTAATAACTTTTTGTCCGTACCTGTATAAAACTACTGAGTAAAAAAATATACATTTACGACGTATTTTACGTAAAAAAGGTCTCTTGGTAAAAATCGCTACGAGTAATGATTTTCGAGATATTTGGAATGGAAATTATTAATACTTGTCATCATTGACATTAATTAAACATGCGTTGACTAAATAGTTAGTAGTGGGAACTATCGAATGAATACTATCGAACCATTCGATAGTTGCAATTCATTCGAATAATTCGATAGCTAGTAAAAAAACATTCGTTGAAAACTATTCGAATAAAAATTATCGAATAGATGCGTCATCTGCCTTGAAATATTGTATTCTAGTAATTCGGCAGCAAAAACCATTCATTTATAAAATTCATTCATTTATGAAATTCATTTATTCGTCAGGATCGATTATAATAAAATATTAACTGGATTTTAGTTGTCGCCCGGCGACGTAGGTTTCTTTCCGATAAACCCCACAGCGGTGGCAATGCTATGAAAAGAAGCCGGCATCTTTGATTTTGCGGAGTCATATAAAGATAAGGACACATTTTTTTTTATTGAGGTGCTAGTATTTACACAAAAAATACATTATGAAGGGCGCTGTTGCCATATTTTGGTATTAGTTGATATTAGCAAAGAATATTATTGTTTGGCTTTAGTTAGTTAGGGATAGTATGTCTATATATTTTGCATTTTTTTAATATTCTGTTGTTATACTGCAATAATACTTGTTATTTTGGATGTAGGAAAATGATTTTTAATGTTTTTAAGCAAAGACTGGTATAATAAAAATAATAATAACAGTAATAATTTGTTATACCTATTAACAACAAAATTTTAAATAATTTAATATAAACGTTTTTTTTACGTAGTAGCAAAATATAAACAACAAATTAGATGTCAAAATTATTTATATTAGATCCTATTTAAAAATAATATAGTCTTTAAATTTTTTGGCAACGTTGGTTTATTAAATAATAATAATTACAGAACTAATTTGTTATATTAACAACAAACTTTAAAATCATGAAATATAAACATTTATTAATTTTCTAAGCATGCAGTGTAATGGAAGGAAAATATAAATAAAAAATTAGGAATCAAAATTATTTATATTAGGTACTCTTATATTACTATTTAAAAATAATATTTACTTTTACTGGCATTTACTTTAAAAATAAATGAAATATTTCTTCATAAAAAACTACATGTAAGAGAATTAGCATAAACAAAATACAAACATCGTTATTTTTTTTTTTAAATTGGCACGTAATAAAATTTTCAATTTAATTTTCTCACCCCATAGTTTGAGTTCGATAACCATTTACTTAATCACATTACTTAAATATGATTATTAAGTTCAACTAATTCATATTATTAAAACATCTAAAATACAAATATGTATTTTTAAAATTAATTTAAGTTCATCTCATCTCTCTAAAAATTGCTACTTCTCAAAATTTCCCATTAAAAAATAGACCATATATACCATATAAAATAAAATAATTGAGATCGGGCTACGGAAAATCACAACAAATTTTCGGAAAAATTTTTACATCTGCACACGCACAATAATCGCCAATTAAAAAACTACTATTTTAGTATTTTAAATATTTTAATAAACGCAAAAATAGCACAGTATTTATAAGGTGAAGTTATAAAATTTTGGAAGAACTAATAATGCACTGTCGCACACACAAAAATCAAACGGATACTAAATTTCATTTATTAAAAGATTCGATAGTCGTGGCTCAACGATAACCATTTAGTTGCACGGCGAGGTTGTCACATATGCTTTAGTATACAAATGAATGAATGATTTTATTCGAATAAAACCATTCGATAGTTGAAATCATTCATTCAGTAACCATTCGATAGTCTAATTCATTCGATAGTTCCCATCGCTATAAATAGTTATTAAACTGAAATCATAAATTTAAAATATTTTTGTGCTAAAAGTTCAACAGAAACTGTTTTATCGTCATTTTTTGCAGAAAAATTTATGATTAATTAAAAAAAATAAAAATTTTCAAATTTATTATTTCAGTGAAATAACTATCTATTCAACGTGTGTTTATTTTTCGTCAATATAATGACATGTATTGACTATTTCCATTCTAAATATCTTAAGAACGGTTGCTCGTAGCGATTTTTACAAAGAGATATTTTTATACGTAAAAAGTTACAGAGGTGTACATTTTTTCGCTCGGTAGTTTTATACAGGTACGGACAAAAAGTTATTACGCTTCAAAACAGTTAAAATACATCTAGGTGGCGCCCTCTACTAGTAGGAGCCATAT